GAACTTCCTGCCCGTGTGAAACTAGAGTGAAACTAGAGCCCTGCGATCGAACTTCATCTGCTTTCTCCATGTTGGCAAGGCAACATGCTGGCACTGTCATTGATTTGGAAGAGTCTGACTCTCAGCCTGCAAGCCCTCGCCCTGCTCTTGCCGTGGCCTCACCAACCTACTTCCAAGCCATTGTCCCAAGGTTCCGAAGATCAGTTCCCAGACGATGCAGACCTTGCCCTCGAAGATGAACTGGTGCTGCAGGAGCAGGAGAACGTGGAGCCAGAAGCCCAAGGGCCGGACGCCAACGATGCAAGCGCAACGGAGCAGATGGATGTGGCTTCCCAAGAACCTGAAACTGATGCTTGTGGCGGTGGATCAGACTTGGGCGACTGGAAAGATGTGTGCCTGCTACTTGCTCTGCGAAACATGGGCTTGCCAGTTGAGATCGGCTGCAATGGCCCCCTTCGTGTCTCAGACGCCAACCGCATCATCAGCTCTTGCGGAGTGTGCTTGAAGCAAGTCGATCCCAAAACTATTAGCAAAGATGGGAAGTACCTCATCCATAGGCCCTACCACTTCTTCGTGCTGTGCATCAAGGAAGGAAACTATGTGTTACAGGACAACGATGTGACAAATGTGCTCACGGCTCATGAGCTCGTCAAGCTCCTGCACACGGGTGACATCTCCGCCTACCAACTCGCACGCCTCAGCCGCACCGTGGACACCCGCGATGACTTCGATGCTTGGGGTGGCGGGGCCAAGAAGCCTAACAAACAGTTCCCCAAGCCAGTGTACACCACACATGCGGGTACCCAGGCATGCTCTCCAAGCATCATGAGGTGGATGCCATTGTTACGGATTGAATGGCCCCTTTCACGCCACGGTGATCACCAAGCAATGTCAGGATCGGAACTGCGCTGGAGGCAAGAAGTTCAACACCGCTGCCCCGGAGGACTTGTCCAAGACTGTTTTCGTGAGTAACAAGCGAGGCTTCAGCATTGAGTACGTGAAGTATCACAGCCAACTCGAGTTCCGGGGTTTCCTGTCCGCAAGGGCGGTCGCGGACGCTTACTCCGACACCTTCTTGGCAAATGAAAGCCCGGATTTCGTGGCCACGAAGTTTCACAGGCTGCACAACGATGCCCTTGCCTACTACCAGGCGGTGTGCGAGCTTCGCCCCCTTGACCTCCATCTGAAGATCGTCCTGGGTAAGGAAATGTCTCAGAACCTCCTCGCTGCCTGTGACAAGCACTTGCACGAGAAGGTTTTCCCACCTGCCAAATGATCTCTCCTCAAAGAGTTGGCTGGGGATGGACATGAGAAGGTAGCTGTCAAGTGCATGGCAAGCTCTCGCAAAAAACGTAGCGGTCGCCCTCGCCACGCTTCCAAGTCGGGCAAGGCGGATGGCAAGTCCATCGGTCATGGTTGGTTCATGCTAGTTGCTCCTCGGGATGGTCGCATCGTCGGGGTCTCGTGCATGATGAAGCCTGAGAATAATGACATCGCCAGGACAACTCTCAGCAAGGTCCTCCCCAAATACAAGAATGTGGACACTTTCATCTTCGACCGGCAGTGCAGCTTCGCTCCGTCTACGCAGGATCTCCCCGAGTTCAAGCAGGTGAAGTACTGGTCTGTGGATAAGTTCCTAGGCACGTTTCATTCTCGCTTTTGATTCCCCTGTAGGAGTTCTACAATAATTTCGCCGCATGTTTTCATGACAAGTCAAGGTTCCACGGGCACGGGCACAAGGATGCGTGCAAAAACAATCCCCACACAGTGGTCCGCCTGAAGCGACGCCTCAAGAACGTCAACACGTCCATTTGCGAGCAGACCTGGTCATGGTTCAGGAACTACGCCCGCATCCTGAACTCGGCCTCCCCGCAGCGTCACGTGTTCAAGGTGTTGTACTTCTGCAAGCTGCACAACTTGAAGATTAATGGCAAGAACACAGCGCATCTCAATCCCTTCACGCCCTTCAACGCAAAGTTCAACAAGTCCAAGCGCTACGGTTGCCCAAAGAAGTCTGTGCGCAAGACGGTCATGAAGAAGCCTTCCAGCAAGTGCGGTAGCACGGTGATGAAGAAGCCTTCCAGCAAGTGCGGTAACACGGTGATGAAGAAGCCGTCCAGCAAGTGTGCCAAGTGAACCCTGAAGCAATGATCTGCTAGCACGCCGATAGAGCTGCAGTTTTGATCTTACACGGGCGCAGAGGAAAACACAGAGAGATGCTTTGCAAGTTCCAGCGCTGCGCAAGCTTTAGTCTGTACAGCAGGATTGGTTTTTTTGGGACAGTTCCACACTTTTTTTGGGGTCGACCTCACAAAATGCGAGACTGCCCCAAAAACAACAATCCTGGCAAGCCCAGACCCCAAAAAACGAGACTGTCCCAAAAAAACCAAAAAAGCAATCCCTGAAGGTCTTGGGCCGGGCAAGCTCAAGACTCTGCAGGATTGGTTTTTTGAGTTCTTTGGGACAGTCTCGAGTTTTTTTTGGGGTCTGGGCTTGCCAGGGTTGGTTTTTTTGGGACAGTCTCGCATTGTGGGAGGCCGACCTCAAAAAAGTGTGGAACTGTCCAAAAAAAACAATCCTGGCAAGCCCAGACCCCAAAAAACTCGAGACTGTCAAAAAAAAAACAAAAACCCAATCCCTGGGGGGGTCGGGCAGGCAAGAGCTCAAGACTCTGCAGGATTGGATTTTTTCTGGGCTTGCCAGGATTGTTTTTTTTGGGACAGTCTCGCATTTTGGGAGGCCGACCCCAAAAAAGTGTGGAACTGTCCCAAAAAAAACAATCCTGTCAAGCCCAGGCCGCAACAAGAATACTGAGACAAAAAACACGAACAGTGAGCATCACTAAGAAACACGGCTTTGTAGAAAACACAACCTCCCAGGAGGTCCCTTTCTGCTTTGGGGTCCTTCTTTTCAGGAGCTGCGGCGCCGGCCTTGGGCGTGCATTGACCTTGGGCACGCGCTCTCGGTTCTCGCGAAGCCTATCCCTTTCAATCAGATCCCTCATGCGTCGCATCAGGAAATCCTATGATTTGTTGGGGTCATCATCACGGCAACGATCATATGTGTGAATTGACGAAGCAAAATGTCTTTCAAAACCTTCTCTGCGGGTGGCGTTTTCCTGCCGGCAATGACAGAAACTCAAGCGTTCAGGAATCGCTTGAGATCAATGATCCCTTCGCCGTGTCGCGAGACACGCAGCAGATCTTCCAAGGAGTAGAGGTGACCGGCTTCTTCGCTCGATTTGAAATACGATGAAACATGAACAAAACCTGTCTCCCCCTCATGGCCTTTCCCTCCTTGGCACATTCCTCTTTTGCCGATAGAATTAGCTGAGCAAGGTCACCCTTCGCCGAGCGCGTGAGCGCTGCGAGAATCTTCGTGTCAAGGGTCACGAACTTGCCAGGCTCCAAGCTCTTCCAACAGCTTCTTCTTATCCTCGCGATCCGACCACACTTCCATGATTGGCATCTCCTTGAACCGCAACGTCTCGCGGTCGCAAGTTCTGGGCTTCTCGTCGCTCGTGTGGCCCTTCACTAACTTCATCAGCATTTTAACGAAAGCTTCTTGACCGAGGTTGGCCCCGAGGCCATCCCCTTCGTCCTCATCACCTCCACCGTCACCGTTCCCGTCATCGCCAGGCGGGCGGACCGCCGGGCGGCTTTCCTCCCTGCTTGCAATCAGCTGGCATTGGCCCTTGAGAGAAGCACTTATGCTGGGAGTGTGTTCAACTTCGTATCATAAAGGGTTTGTGACCGGTCATTAGTTCTGGCGAATCCTCTTGAGTATCGCCCACGCCTTTGGGCTTCGAATCTTCCCCGCGGAAGTCGTGTGGCCTCAGTTGCTGGTTGAGATCATCGATCTCTTCCTGCAGAAGCCTGTTCTGCGCGGCCATCATGTCGACATTCCTGGCATGTGTCGCTTCAACACGCGCAATGTCATCCGTATGCTTAGCAGCCTGTTCCTGAAGGAGCTGCTGAGCATCAGCCAGTGTCACTTCGATGGCTTGCCTAAACTCACTTGTTGTGCGTCTCATTTCCATTTCATGCATTACCTGGGCCTTATCCTCGCATGATCGGCTTATCCTAGCTTCGGCGTGACTCAACTCAAGGTTGAACTCATCGCTCACTCGCTGTTCGTATTCACGAATTCTATGCGACTGGGCTTGCACACACTCAGCGTAATGTGCACGCAGCTGATTTTGTGCGACACGGAGCTCCTCGCGGTTTTCCGCTTGCAGGTGCGTTACAGCTGCCTGACGCAGTGCTTCGGCTTCTGGCCTAATATCTGCATCAACCCCAAAAGCAAATATTGCGGTGTTGTACAGTTGCAGGGAACTCATTAGAGTACGGTTGTGCTGTGTGTTCATGCTGAAAGCATGAATGCGCGCACCATCGCCGGTGGCGTTGTCGGAGCTTGCTCCCACACCATCCACGGGCATTTCGGATCCATCAACTGGCACAAGGGAACCGTCCATTGCTTTAAGCTAGGGGCTTACGGCTGATAACCTATAGATTCGAGGGTTCCCGGTTTGGGGCCCAAAAGGAAACAACAAACCGTCCAAGTGCGCTGCTCGCACATTTTCACGCTTGAACAGCCACACTGCGGATGCAATTGATGTTAACCCCCAAACTGACCGAATGAATTCTTCAAAGAGTGCAAGATCTTACCAAGCGCTTACCCAGGCAAAACGGATTTTCCCGCAAGGTGTTCATTGGCAGCCGATGAAAGCCTTGCGTTGCTCAGAAAATACCTCCAGGCCTGGTGATACTCGTGTTGCCAGTTTAGCATGTAGACCGGTGCGAGTCTATGTTTTCTCTTGCATTCTATAAATATTGGTCGCAACCCAAGTTGATATTCCAGAGCCATTGCGGGCAGTCCAGTGCGATTTGACTCAGAGTATCCAAAAGAGAGAAACGCATCCCTGACATGTGACTTTGGCTCCAAAAATCAAGCAGGGTCCTCGTTACTGCGTCACACCCTGCCCCCGAGCTCCACCCGGCCTGGGCAGCGCTCAAGCCGCCCTGGCCCAAGTCCAACGCTCGCCGGATGGCGTCCATCTCCGACTGCACGGGGCTTACGGCAATGGCCCACAATCCCCGAGCTTGGCATCCTGCGGAAGGAACACAAACAATCCCATTCATGTTGTGGGAAGAAGCCGCTTTTGGGGTTCCATGTTGATGTTACTTTACGCTAGTTGTGGTTTGGGCAGCTACCCCTTGGCTTTTTGTTGCCGAAATGGAAAGGAACACAGGGTCAGCCCTGAGTCACTGCAATAGGCCGCCCCAGCAACTGAACAGCAGGCCTTTGGCTTTGTCTATGGCAGTAAGCAACATGGAGGGCCGCAAAATGTCCAGCAAAGAATCGCGTGGCACATGGTACGATCCATGCAATTCACGGAGCCGCCCGACAATCCCGAACTTGTGCCACGGTCTGAGAGGTTTCACCAAAAGACACAATAGCCCTCACCGCACATAAACTCTTCCTTGTGCTTTTCATCGGGGGACAATCCAAACCAGGCCTCCCGACTAAGTCGTGTCAAGATTAAGCACTCAACAACAACGATGAAATAATAGTCACAACGCTTCTTTCGGATGGACCAAGCAGATCTGTTCCTAGGTTCTATTGGAATCGGTGAAGGCAGTGCTCAGGGCATCAACTTCCACAAGATTACACGGACGGTTTTCAGAACACTTCGTTATGGACCTTTTCGACGTCACTGTGAAACATTCGTATATGTCGGACTTGAGACCACCGAGGAGAGCTTGCCGGACAGAAGCACTGCCAACCCAAGCCGGGCTTGCTAAACTGAGTTGCTTGGAGATCTGTTGCCACAAAAACGATCGCACATTCCGAGCACAACATGTCTGCAACAACCTTGCGATTCGCATCAACTCGATGATCAAACATTCTCGTGGCAGTTCCAAGAAGCAACTGAAACTGAAACTATCCTTGGTTTGCTGCAGCTTGACACCTCCGTACCCGTGGGAAAGATACAAATATGTGCATATGTAAATCTACATACATATATGTACATATATACATATATATATATATATATATATCTTGGTGTCATGCGTGATGCATAGTGATGATACATTTGGAGCGCCTGCGTTGACCTGCATCTCTTTCCCGGAGCGTGGCTCACTTATGTCCAGCGCATGCCCCCGGCCCTCCAGCCCCCCTCCTCTGGCGGCGGTTCGTCCTCGGGCCACAAGTCCTTGCAAGAGGCACTGCAAGCGGCGGCAAGCGGCTGGCTCCCGGCCAAACCATTCTGTGGGATACACAGGGAACCAAATATCCGAAGCAAATGACTGGAAAGCTTGCGCCTGTGGAGAGGAAAGCCTTGTCGGTTCGGTGGAAAGCCAGCTACAACAAACGGGGCACGAATCCAAGGGACCTGGGCCCTTGCGCTTGTTTTTGCCGTGCTCGCCGCAGTGCCTAATTTCATGCAAAATTAAATAGAAGGGGCGTCGGCCCCCGGTGCCCCTTCTAGTCCGCCCCTTCTAAAGACAAAGAAACAAAAATGCCCAGACTTGTTTTGTCTTCTGCAAATTCCGTCCAGCCCGCCTTGCGGATATGTCGCTTCGCTTCGCTGATTCATCACACTGCTGGAGAAAGGGATCCATTGTTTGGGCTTTCGTATCTGGCAAGTGGCCCCGGCAAAAGGCTCAACTCCGGCTTACCCCAGAGCTCTGGAGAGACGAAATGAGCAAGTCCTCCGCTGCCTCTTCCACACTAACCTGCGGCGAGGACTGAAAGAACATGATCTCAGAGCGAGACATTGCGACAACCAGCCCCAAGATAGCGACCCCCAGGAAAGAAACAAGGCCGCGGGGAGGGGGGACAATTCGTCAAGCAACAAGTCGTATTGGTGCTTTGCCCTCAACTCATCCCTCTTTGCCTTTCAGTCTTCAGTCTTCAGCCGGAAATGCTGTCAAACACTTAACACCAATATCTGAAACTCTTGCCTCAAATGATAGACGTGGGCCCTTGGCAGCAACAGCCGTGAAGTGACCATCCGAAACAAGAGCTTTTATTTAACGCTGCTTCACCAAATGGCGATATGTCAGAATTCGGGTTTCATGCTGCAAATAAAATCAACGTGCAGGGGTCCCCAAATCACTTCCATGAACGGCACACGAGAGGGCGCGTAACGCGTCGTGTTGATGCCAGAGGTGCAGGCAAGGTGGCAGGAAGGAGGCGAATGGGAGGGGGAGCTTACGGACCATTTTTCAAGTTCTAGCGGAGCTTCCACCCTGTCGGCTTTGTGCGGAAAAAAGGAAGTTGGCACGGGGCGGCATTTGGGCAGCAATGCCCAAAATTCCATGTGCAGTTATATTTCGGTGTGTGAATGGGGGCTCGTGCACTGATTGGCCAATGCCAAGCTTTTCGGAAAAGGAGGTGGTCCAGCCTCTGCACATTCCTCCGGCTCGATCCGGTGCTCCAGGAACTGGCTCTGCGCCTCACGGCCCGGCACCCAAAAGAAGGACGCAGGGTGCGCCAGCTGCGGGCCCAAGATGATCTTGACCCCAAGCGCAACAAACAAAGGAAGCATAAGGGCTGTCCAAACTGATTCATCTGCATGATTTGCTCGGGTAAAGCATACTGTCTGAAAATCACATTGACCCTCCAGAAGGGAAGTATGCATTGATACCACCTTGGCTTTCCAGCCGTGGTGCCTTCAAAGGGAGCACAAGCTATCCAAAGCAGCAGCCACAACACATGGCCTTCTCACAGTCTAAATTCTGTGGCCCATGACTCCTGGCACGGTCACGCCAATCCAAAAGCACAAAAGCGTTCTACCGAGCTTAGGTGCGGGGCCAAAAGTTCCAGGCCGCAGTTGGCTGCCCGCAGCTGGAAGCCTACAGCCTCGGCTTCGGCTCGGTTTTACGGGCAGAGTGCGGTCCAGGGGCCCAGGCACAAGTCGCAAGCTTGGGGGCGCCGAGTGCCAGTGAGGGGAATTTGTGTAGTTTTGCAGTCAAAGCACCCTTGTATAGTTGACCTGAGGGCTAACATATATGCAATACTGTTGTTTTTCACAATCATCAGATTAGATGTATCCGTACATATATGTATATATGTATATGTAGAGATGTGGGGGGGGGGAGAGAGATAGAGAGAGAGAGAGAGAGAGAAGAGAGAGGGAGAGAGAGGGAGAGAGAGGGAGAGGGAGAGAGAGGGAGAGAGAGGGCGAGAGAGGGAGGAAGAGAGAGAGAGAGAGAGAGAGAGAAAAAGAGAGAGAGCGCGCGGGAGCGCGAGGGGCAGAGAATAGGATGTCGTTTTATGACTCAACGAAATATAGAACATATACATGTGAAGATTAAAAAATATATGTGTGACTATAACGTGATCCAAATTGTAATCATATAGCTGTGGATCCCTTCTGCAAGCGCTGCTTCCATGTAGAGAACATCGACCTACATGGGAAACGGTCTGACCTCAGTGAAGATCAAGGATTTAAGAGCCAGTGCATCTAAAACGACATGAGAAGAGGCAAACACCGCGTAAAGAGGCAAAAGAACCCTCCAGGTTCCGTGGCCCAGCCTTGTACCCGCCGCGACCCGTCCATGGGAACCCGTTCAAGTGACCACCACTTAATGTTGGAACCCCCCAAAATGTTCACATCACGAAACCGTGTTTGACTCAGTCATCGTAGAACCTCTTCCCCTGACTCTGGGCCGAGAGTCATCTGCTCGCCGCGCTGCGGCTTCCAAACCCTTCTCGGTCTGTTCGGCTCGCCTGGGCGCAAATGCAACATCTGACAGCAAGGCTGGGAAAAACTAGAACCACGGGTGGCCCGAAAGCATAATGGAAAGTGACCAAAGAATGGATAATGCAATGCCACAAAGGCATCTCTGAAACTCCTCATGCATCAAAGAAAATCAAGCCGACATGCGGGGATGCCAGTGCAGTGGTTGCGTGCGTGCGTGCGTGCGTGCGTGCGTGCGTGCGTGCGTGCGTGCGTGCGTGCGTGCGTGCGTGCGTGCGTGCGTGCGTGCGTGCGTGCGTGCGTGCGTGCGTGCGTGCGTGCGTGCGTGCGTGCGTGCGTGCGTGCGTGCGTGCGTGCGTGCGTGCGTGCGTGCGTGCGTGCGTGCGTGCGTGCGTGCGTGCGTGCGTGCGTGCGTGCGTGCGTGCGTGCGTGCGTGCGTGCGTGCGTGCGTGCGTGCGTGCGTGCGTGCGTGCGTGCGTGCGTGCGTGCGTGCGTGCGTGCGTGCGTGGCGTGCGTGCGTGCGTGCGTGCGTGCGTGCGTGCGTGCGTGCGTGCGTGCGTGCGTGCGTGCGTGCGTGCGTGCGTGCGTGCGTGCGTGCGTGCGTGCGTGCGTGCGTGGTGCGTGCGTGCGTGCGTGCGTGCGTGCGTGCGTGCGTGCGTGCGTGCGTGCGTGCGTGCGTGCGTGCGTGCGTGCGTGCGTGCGTGCGTGCGTGCGTGCGTGCGTGCGTGCGTGCGTGCGTGCGTGCGTGCGTGCGTGCGAGCGTGCGTGCGTGCGTGCGAGCGTGCGTGCGTGCGTGCGTGCGTGCGTGCGTGCGTGCGTGCGTGCGTGCGTGCGTGCGTGCGTGCGTGCGTGCGTGCGTGCGTGCGTGCGTGCGTGCGTGCGTGCGTGCGTGCCTGCGAGCGTGCGTGCGTGCGTGCGTGCGTGCGTGCGTGCGTGCGTGCGTGCGTGCGTGCGTGCGTGCGTGCGTGCGTGCGTGCGTGCGTGCGTGCGTGCGTCAGCGTGCGTGCGTGCGTGCGTGCTTTGCGGGCGTGCGTGCTCGTGCGGGCCTAGCGGCCCGCGGGCCTGCGGCCTGCGGGTGCCTGCGGCCTGCGTGCCTGCGTGCGTGCGTGCGTGCGGGCGGGCGGGCGGGCGGGCGGGCGCGCGCGCGCGCGCGCGTGCGTGCGTGCGTGCGTGCGTGCTTGCGTGTGTGTCACAATTGCGCACGCGCGTGCGCGTGTGCTACTGCGGATATCTGCAAAGTTTGCTCCTCGGTGACTGATAAGCTTCGGTGTTGCGAGCTCTATACAAGTGTTGCTCTGCGCAAGTGCTTGGCCCAAGCGTTCAGCGCAAGTTGCTCTGCGAGTGCAAGTGCTCTAAGCAAGTTGCGATGCGCAAGTGCTACGCAAAAGTATGCTGCGCAAGCTTGGGACAAGTTTCTATGAGCAAGTTCTCCGAGCAAGTTCTCTGCGTGCAGCGCTGACCGCAACATGGCAACCTTTCGATTTGAGCCGGAGCTACGAATGCAGCCTTCGTGAGCCACTTTCGCGCTGCTGACTTTCTAACTTAAAGGCTGCGGAGACCAAGCAGGATTCGAGCCCGGGGCTCGTCTTTTTTTGAAGACCAGGCGCGTAACCACGAGACAAACTCTCAAGCCCGCGTTCCGACTTGAAAAAGTAGCATTTTACTAGCATTTCGTGCGATCCACCACGCCAATCCTCGCAGAGGGTCGCGCGGGCAAGTCAGAAATCGTAAAAAGTCCTCAGTTTTTGCACATCGACCACCCAGAAATCATAAAACGTCCTCAGTTTTTGCACATCGACCACGCCAATCCCCGCAGAGGGTCGCGCGCGCGGCTCAGAAATCATAAACATCGACCACGCCAATCCCCGCTGAGGGTCGCGCGGGCACCTCAGAAATTGTAAAAAGTCCTAAGTGTTTGGACATCGACGCAAAAAAATCGCGCGCGCAATTCCGAAATCGTAAAGAGTCCTCAGCTTTTGGACATTGACCACGCCAATCCCCGCAGAGGGTCGCGCGCGCACCTCAGAAATCGTAAAAAGTCCTCAGTTTTTGGACATCGCCCACGCCAATCCCCGCAGAGGCTGTCATTTTCGCAGGGTGCTGTGCAAGTTGGCTCGAGCAAGTTGGCTCGTGCAAGTTGGCTCGTGTAAGCTGGCTGTGCAAGTTGGCTCGTGCAAGTTGGCTCGCTCAAGTTGGCTCGTGTAAGTTGGCTCATCTCGTGCAAGTTGTTCTCGTGCAAGCTGGCTCGTGTAAGTTGGCTCGTGCAAGTTGACTCACGCAAGTTGGCTCGGGCAACGTTGGCTCGTGCAAGTTGGCTCGCGCAAGTTGGCTCGTGCAAGTTGGCTGTGCAAGTTGGCTCGTGTAAGTTGGCTGTGCAAGTTGGCTCGTGTAAGTTGGCTGTGCAAGTTGGCTCGTGCGAGTGAGCTCGTGCAAGTTGGCTCGTGTAAGTTGGCTCGTGTAAGTTTGGTTGTGCGATAAGGCTGGTGCAAGTTGGCTCGTGCAAGTTTAGCTGTGTGATAAGGCTGGCGATTTTACCGGAAGAACCCTTCGCAATGCTTTCGGGAAAATCTGCATTGGTGTTTCATTGGGCTTTTCTTTTTCCAGGGGGATGAATTCTTGATAGTATCAATAAGTGGGAATTCAGCCCGTTCGCTTGCTTGCGCAAGTAGAAACTACAACCAGCTAAAGCTAGCTGTCGTGATAAGGTTGCCCTGGACTGCCCGCTCCTGGAGTGGCTTCCCTGGCTTGTCTCCCCCGCCTGAGCATGCCATCTCGCATGGACTGCAGGACCCTAAGGAGCAGCTCGTCCTGAAACACAACAGCAAAAAGGCTGTTGTGTCTGTATGGGGATCTTGCTGTTTGTGTGTTTGCTTGCGCGCTTGCTTGTTTGCTTTCTTGCCTGCCTGCCTGCCTGCCTGCTTGCTTGCTGGCCTAGCCTGGCCTGGCCTGGCCTGGCCTGGCTTGGCTTGGCTTGGCTTGGCTTGGCTTGGCTTGGCTTTGCCTTGCCTTGCCCTGCCTTGCTTTGCTTTGCTTTGCTTGCTTGTATGCGTGTTCGTTTGTATGTTTCGTTGCTTGTGGGCCAGTTGCTTGGCTGTTTGGCCAATTGTTTGCGTGATTGATTGTTTGTTCGATTGTTTGGCCTTTCCATTGCTCGCTTCCTTGCTGCTTGCTCGCTCCTTCGCTCGTTCGTTCCTGCCTTCGTTCGTTTGTTCATGTTGCTGTCTCCTTTGCTTGTTGTGTTTATGCGATTCACGTGCCCCTTGGTGTTAGTTTTGTATTTGTACTGGTTTGCTTCATTGGTGATTTGCTCTGTATTGCAGTGTTCCTTTGCTATGTTGTTCAGTTGCTTCGATTTCTCATTGCTTCGTTGTTTCATTGTTGCTCTTTGCTCTGGTGCTTCTTTTTCTTTGTGTGTATGTGTTTCTTCGTTCTGTTGTTTGCTTCCGTGTTCCCTCGTTTCTTTGTTCCTTTCGTTGTTTTCTGCGTGTGTGGGTTCCCTTGTTTCTTTGAACATGTTGGTGTTGTTCGGCCTCTGCACATCAAGTTCTGTCCAAAAAGACATAAGCTGCGTCTCCTGGAGAGGATGCCCATGGATGACCGTTCCACTGACTGAAAATGTTGACTGCACCCAATGTTGCTTCTCATGGAGCAATCAAAGTAGATACTTGACGGAACAGCAACAAGCATACATAAAAGGTGACGTGAAACCTGCAAAGGGAAAGAATGAGTGAGGCAACTGCCAACCTGCAAGCATCGGCTAGACGAAGTCAAGGCCACCTCAGTCCGAATCTGAGCCTGTAAAAAGCGGGTGGCAAAGGAACTAAAAAGCCCCCTCAATCTGTGAAACTTGGTTCTGTCCAAAGTCTTGTCAGTTCAAAGTCAAGATTGAGGTTAAGCACCTGCAAAACAGGAAAAACACACTGTAACAGCCTTCTGGTGCACCTCTCTGTGCCACTCCTGCACTGCATCCCAAGTGTCCACATGACCATGCAGCTGCTGCAGCCTTGCACGAGCCATCCGGATCTCAGGTTCTTCTTGGCCCGGAAAAGTCCAAGCATTTCTTTACCACTCAAATGAACTTCCCAAACATAATAAAGACTGGAATCATTGTTGCGGCACCTGCAATGCGGGATCACGGAGATCTGGACCAAGGGCCCCAACGGCGCTAACAACATTTGAAAGGAACCTGCAATGTTGTCCCTGGTTTGAACCGCTTCTCTTTCAAGAGGCGCATTCACGATCTTTCCAATTGTTTTCGGAAGCGATCGCGATAGACCGAATCGCAAAAGAAGTTTGTCTTCTGCGATCTGGATGTGGCTGTTCTCCTTTTCTTCTTTTGCTTGAAAGGAAATGCGCCATCTGCCACGCCAGGCTCCATGTGTCGTATGTGCCCTGGACAAAGCTGCAGTTCTCTCATGGCCGGGTCTCCACTTGCACCCGGAAACGCGACGTTTGAGCCAGAACCCTGTGTCTCAAAAGCATGCTCCGCCTCGCCCAAAACAAAACATAATGGTTCATGTAAAAATATCCTTCCATCCGCTTGATCTGGGTTGTCTTGAGAGCGCCCTCCCGGCCCATCGGGTGCCCAGCACAGCCGCTGGCTCCATGGCGGCCGGCGTCAGGGCTAGATTTCTGGCTCCAGGGAGTCGGAAGATGTGGCTGAAGCCCTGAAATCAGCTAGGTTCGAGAAGACTATCGAGCAAATTGTTGGGGGACGGCGCCTGGTCTTTCATCACAATGATGTGATGCGATACGAGATGTTAGACATATGATGCACGCACGTTTACATCAATGTAGTATATTTGCAATTTGGATGTTGAAAGCGTGGGAGGTGCACAACATGTCACCGAAATGGAGGCCATGTTTCTGCTAAGGGGGGCTTTCCAGCTTGTCTTTATTGGCCTTCTAGTGGATAAATCCCTTTTGAACCGCTCTGCGGGCTTGCGTGAAAAGGTGTGCAAACGAGCTTCCGACATCGGCAACTTTGGCTCATGTCGTCAAGAAAACCAACTGCCGTCCATCTCGCAAACATGCGCCCGCACCTTTGACGGCACCCCGAACAGCACCTCCAAACACCACCTCCAACCTGCATGCCCCTAGCACCCAGCCGTCAATCTCGCAAGATAGTTCCCCCTCTGCGTTTGAAGTTACGATGGAGTTCAGCGATCTGGGGAAGGTAAACATGGCTTGGCTGCGGTTCACCTTGAACTGGCCAAAACCGCCTGCCCGCCCGCCCGCCGCCCGCACGCACGCCCGCACGCCCGCACTCAAGAAAAGACAGAGAAAGAGAACTATAGTTTCTATATTTTTGAAACTTTCGCCCGCCGGCTTCGCTGGATTGCGCGGCTGGTTGGTTTAAGGTTGGTTGATGGTGGGCTTAGGGTGGCTTAGGGCTGATTTTGGCTGGTTAGTTTAGGGTTGGTTTAGGGTTGGTTTAGGGTTGGTTCAGGGTTGGTTCGGGGTTGGTTTGCAGTGGGTTCAGGGCAGCATCCGGAAGGACATGTAGTTCTTTTGGTGACCATGCATCTTGCCCGGGCTGGATTCCTCTACCATCCGTGTCGATGAACCTCCACGCTCCAACCTGCCCACATTATCTCAAGCTGCTGTAGTTCTGCTTTGGCCTTCCTCCTCCCCTATCATCTCCATCACGCCCTGTGTTCCAATCCCGCACCACGGACATCGGACATGTCCAACTTCTCTGAGCGCCTGTGCCGCGTAGGCAGCGTGAAGGGTGGTGGGGTCACGGCCTGCAAGGCCACCACCATGTTCGACAGGGCTGACCGGTTGGTTGCTAGGTTCTGTGTGAGCATTGGCGCTCCGCGCTGATTCCAGCCTCCCTTGACTGAGGCCCATTGCTCGCGCGTCGCGCTTTTCGCGCTGCCCGCATCAAGTCCTCATGGGTGAAGGTGAGTTCCTTCGAGCGCACGGCGCGGGGAGCAAAACCATCAGTACCAGCATCATCATCGAATGATCCTCCACCACTTCCGACCGCCTCACTAGAACCAAGTTCTTCTCCAGGAGTTACGCCTTCAACACCGCCAAGAACTGACGACAAGGCACAACCAGATGATCCTGGAGAAGAATCCTCTGCACAGACGAAGCTTCAGGCCTGGTAATCGATGAAGCTCTTTGGACACAGTTCACACATGACCAACAGGCGTGTAGCAACTTCACTGCTCCAAGAGATATTGCGGACAAACCCATTAGTCTCCACACAGTGTGTTCCGCTGAGGCCTATAACAACTTCTCGTTCTTCGCGCACACGCGACAGAACAACAACTACGACATTGAGTCAGTGCGCCATGGCCTCAACGATGACGACGGAGCTCTGCTCACACTGTTCCAAGAGTCAGGAGTAGCAACACAACAAGAAATCCGCCGACCCTTTCTCTAAAAAGGGGAGGCGCACGGGAAGGGTGGTTGGCGCATAAGTATAACCAAAGTTTCCTCACAGGCATCAGCAGCTACGATGATTGTCATCATCACAGTCATCGTCATCATCATGATCATCCTTATCATCATCTCTTTCCTATTCTCTTATCCTTGTCATCATTGTCATCATGGTCGTCGTCATCTCTTATCAGGCAGCATTGGTGACGCAGAGGATGCTACGATGATAGTTATCATCACAGCCGTTAGTGATGCCAAGGACGCTACGATGCTAATTATGCGCGGGTGATAACGATCATCACGCCCGTGCCATTATCATCATGGTCGTCGTCATCTCTTATCACGCAGCATTGCTACGATGATAGTTATCATCCTTATCATCTTTATCATCATCTGATCATCACCGAGCATCATCTAATTTCTTTTTATATATAGAAATCAAAAGGGACGTTAGACATCCTTGGCAATGCAAAGGATGCGATGATGATAGATATCAGGGAACCAGTAGAGATGCAGAGGATGTTGTGATGATAGTTGTCATGACGCGGATGATAACGATCATCACGCCCGTGCCATTATCATCATGGTAGTCGTCATCTCTTTTCAGGCAGCATTGGTGATGCAGAGGATGCTACGATGATCGTTATCATGACAGCCGTGAGTGATGCTAAGGATGCTACGATGATAGTTATCATCCTTATCATCTTTATCATCATCTGATCATCACCTAGCATCATCTAATTTCTTTTTATATATAGAAATCAAAAGGGACGATAGACATCCTTCGGCAAGGCAAGGGCTGCGACGATGATACTTATCAAGGAACAAGTAGTGATGCAGAGGATGTTGTGATGAAAGTTGTCATGACGCGGATGGTAACGATCATCACGCCCGTGCCATTATCATCATGGTCGTCGTCATCCCTTATCACGCAGCGTTGGTGACGCAGAGGATGCTGCGATGATAGTTATCATCACAGCCCTTAGTGATGCTAAGGGTGCTACGATGATAGTTATCATCCTTGTCATCATCTTTATCATCATCTGATCATCACCTAGCATCATCTAATATCTCAATATATATAGAAATCAAAAGGGGCGTTAGAAGAAGAGACAACGAGGCAACTTCCTTCAGACCAAAGCACGTTGGGCGCTTACAAGCGGATAGCCCAGCAGCTTCAAGAAGTGAATTCAGGCTAGCCGTTCCCGCAGCAGCAAACAGAGGGTGGAACACATTCCACATGGCCCTTAAAACAGCTTTCCTAAAAGGTGAAGAATATGATAACACCCGAGAAATGTAAGGGCGATGCACCAAGGCGATGGTGGAACTTTCTTCGTTCAGCACTAAGGTCGCATGGCCTTGCGCCCACTCGTGCGGATCGCTGCACCTGCGCCTAGTATGGCGAGAAGATCACCAAGTCAGATCCAGGAACGAGTAAGGTCCATTCTCATGGGTTTAGTTTGGAAGGAGCCAGTGACTATCTCATGGTCAGGTCTCAGGCAACAACAGGTCCACGGTGTCATTCCCCGACATGTAGATGATCTTCTCGTGGCAGGCGACGATACTTTTGAACACAAGATCATGGCTAAGATCTGTATAAGGATCCAAGTAGGTTCCAAGGATAAGAACGACTGTGTCTTCGTTGGACAGCGAATTGAGTGGAACATGATCCAGCGATGCGCACAGCATGCCGAAGTGTGCTTGGACAGCAGAGTTGGCTTCAGTCCAGAACTCAATTGGCTACATCAGGGGCCTCATCTCCCACGATTGTTGATGTGAGAACCATGAATAAATACTGTCAGAACCAGTAAGAGTACAGAAGGGGACAATGTGGAGGCCTGCGTTTGTGTTGTTTTTGGGGTTTCGTGCTTTCACAAGCAAAAGTCTGTGGCCTTCACAAGAAAACAAGAAGAAGCAATCATGACACGCAGTGAGGTGGTCTGTCGAACCCAAGGGTAGGGGAAACGCGGCCTGCAAATTGGGGCCCCAGCGATCCTGGGCTGAGTGGCGAGGGGTGGGGCAAAAAACACGGTGTTGACATGTTCAAGTTTTTTGCCCCCCCTTCTGACGCTACACATGAGGAATGCAAAACGCACAGTGCAAAGTTGCAGGATGCCTTCTTGTCTACTTGAAATTCAGTTGCTTAGGTTTGAATTGAGCTATGCATCTTAGTAGCTTATACAGCTAGTGTTTGCTGCTTGAGCATTTGCATGAAGAGCACCATAGTGGCCAGCCTCTTGTGCAGTTTATAGGCAGGATCAGAAGCGGTCGCGAAAAGCAGTGCTAGCTGCAAGAAACTGCGCAACTGGCACGAACCTCAATTGCTGCTTTGCCTTACTTGTGGCAAGAAGGGCTTGGTTGCACAGGGGCTAGTCCTAGAACACCATATCTATGTGCTGCTCGTCGGCCCATTTGCGTGTAGTATTCTCATGGCTTGCCTTGCGCGTCACACCCTCTATGATAATTCAATTGTACGTGGCTTTGACACACCTACATTTGTCATAGGTAGGCCAATCTGCAGCAGTTCATCAGGCTGCAGCTTGCTACTGGTTAACATAGACAGTTTAGCTGGCATCAGAAATGGACACCTCGGCTCAATGAAATCTATTGTTTTTCTTGCAGAAAACTGGTGAGCGCAACAAAGCTCAAAGCATGTCGGTGTTCCATTGTTTCTCGTGTTTCTGAACATACTGTTTTTGGGGCCGACCATAGGAGGCCTACTGATCAGAAATTGTGTTGATGACCATGGAAGGTACAAGCATGCCACCAGTCTTGCGTTTCCACTTGGCGCGCAGTCCTTGCCCCACTTTTCGCGTGAACAAACTGCCCTCGCCATAGGCTACCAAGCTGCTATCTGAGCTTGGCGAGAGAAGTTGCCATTCTGAATCAACTACAGACAGATTACAAGTCACATTGCCAGTAGAAAGAGGTGAGGCAGACCACCTGGCAAATGGGCAACACTTATGTCTACATCATTAGAAATAGGATCTCTGGCTCCTATGCTTACTGGTGGCACGCAATAGATGGTAAGGGAGGAAGTAAGAGAATAGCCTATTCTACGTGCACCTTCCATAGGTCATCAACATAATATCTGATCAGTAGACCTCTTAGTCAAACCTAAAAGCAGTTTGTTCTTAGAGAAGCGAGAAAACAATGGAACGTAGGCATGCTTTACCCTAAAAGAAAAACTTTGCTTTTTCAAGGAAACAACACAACT